GCACAGACACAGTTACGCACACGCACACACACACACTCACACACACACACACTCACGCACCCACGCGCACGCACGCACGCACACACAAACACACACACACACACACACGCACACGCACACGCACCTGCACACTCACACACACACACACACGCGCACGCACCCACACACCACCCACCCACCCACCGATACACACAAACACACACACACGTACATACACACACACACACACGCGCACACACACACACACCAGCAAACAAACAACTGTCGCACATCTGGCACTAGTAAGGTGTTCTGGGGTCAGAGAGCCCTCCGCCCCTGGCAAGCGTAACAGTGCCCAAACATATCGATACTCCTGGAGGCTCGATATCAAAACCAGATCCGCCAGCGACAGCTGAGGTCCCTCCCGCCTGCCTTCACCAGGGTCCTCTTCTTAACGGGAAGAGAGAGGAAAGATACTCTTTCGCCAGGGTGCTCTCGGCCAGGGTACTCTTCGCCAGGGTACTCTCCTCCGGGAGAGAGGAAGGTTGCGTTTGCCAAAGTGCTCTTCTTCATGGGTACTTTCGGCCTTAAAGTGGGGAAGAGAGAGGAACGACATCCCAGAAGGACGAGAAAGGAACAACGAACACGGACGACGGACATCTCGATGCTTCCGCTCCTTCTCCCATGCGCGCGGGGGGCGGGCTCCTTGCTATCTTCAAGCACCCCATAAATTCTGATGTGATCAATGGAATGCGCGGCACCTGGATCCGTGGGCTCCCACAAACCGGCGCAATGCAGCCGTCCTGGATAATATCTCCTGCTGGCCCCAGATCGAGCCCGAAAACGTTTCACAGAGGCCGAGGATGGCATACCAACTCCGCCTGGATTTTCCAAATACGTCGTGTCGTACCCGCTTGCGCGTCAGGGAGCAATCGCGTCTCTCCGATACAGAACGCAAATCGTTCGATATGGGTCGACCTTGCGCGACCGGCGGCGTTCAACCTTGAACGCCCGCGCTGGGTTCGCACCGGTGTTGGCACAACACTGCCGAGGACCATTTTAACTCAAAACCGATCCCAGGATCCCTCCCGGACGCCATCCTGCCCAACTTTTCGAGCTGCGTCCAGCCGTTTCCTCGAGGAGGCCCCCCCGACGCCCTCCTCCCAAAAAAGCAATCCTCCATTCCGAGCCGCATGTCGCATCCTGCCGTGCCAACGGCGAACTGCCACCGGCAGAAGGCAACCAACAAAACCAGACACCCAAAACAACACTGACGTCAACCTGGGCCGCGGTCTGTGCTGCAAGGTTGTTACGTCGCAGCGCGGCCGAGGCAGTCCGCACGCGCGCCCGGGCAAGCCGGGAGGCGGCATCGCTAGTTGTCCGGACAGCATGAGCGGGAAAAGGGGGAACGAGGAAGCGGCCGCGGGGCGGGAGGGGAGGAGGGAGAGCGCTCACGCGGCGGGGGCCGCTGCGGAGCGGCGAGGCCTGTGCTGCACACGGCATGGTGGTTTCTGGCCCCCCGCTCTCCAGCGCGTGGGGCACCAGGTCCCACGGCTTCTCCGGGGCGTTGCAGACTGGCACCCCGGCGGCTCGGCAGAGCGAGAGGCGGTGGCGCCACCACCCGAAGAGCTGCGGCACCTGGGACCGGCGGAGGAGCGAGGGCACGAGGGCAAGGCGCGCTGGGAGTTGGGAGGCAGATCCAGATAATTCAGAAATCTCTGAGATCTGGCGGCTCTGGAGGATGACTCGGGCGCCGCGGCCTTCTCAAAGCGTTCTGGGACGCTCTGAGAGCTTTCCGGAGTGCTCTGGAGCGGACTGTCCTCGTCCTCGCCCCGTCCGAAAATGTGAGGTTGCCTCTGCGAGTCCGTGTGGACGGCTCCACAAGCAAACCAACACATTGCCACGCCTCAAGGGGCCTCCACCGGCGGAAGCGCCATTGCTCTACTTCCGCCGTCGCCGGCCGACCTTCCGCGGCCTTCCGCCGGGGAAGACGCTCCGTGACCTGCCCCGCCCCCTCCGTCCTGCCCCCCCTGGTCACGTCGCGATTCGCGCCAGCGCCGTCTGGGAATTAGCCATTCAGATCAGCTTTCCCAAACAGCGCCGGCGCGAATCGTGACGTGAACGTCCCCCCGCCGCGTCCCGCCCGTCATTGCCAGGGGTTAAACAACGGTGCCGAACCCCTTCGACCCTCACAGCTTTCTGTCGCGATCCACACAGCGTTCGAAGACAGCCGAGGGATGCAACTGGGCCCAAGTGGGCACATCAGGCGAAAGGGGAGACGGCGCGTGCGAAAAGGGAGAGGAGTGAGCATGCAGGTCTTGAACGTGTGTTCCAGAGCACGCCCCCCTCCCCGTCCCGCCCCGTTACTGCCAGGGGAAAAAACGGCTTCCAATTCCTTCGACCGGCTACTTAGACTTAGGCCATGACCAAAACAAACCACATGAGCGACGAAAGTCACGGGTCTTACGCACAGGATTGCATGGCGACCTTGCGCGGTGGCTTATGCGGGCAGCCAGTGCGG